ACACACACTCACACAGACACACACACACACTCACACACACACGATCACACTCACTCACTCACACACACACACTCACACACACACGATCACACACACACACGATCACACTCATTCACTCACTCACTCACTTACTCACTCACACACACTCTCACTCACACACACACACACACACACACACACACACACACACACACACTCGCTACACTAGCGCTCTGCTGCCCCCTTCACGAGAGTCCAGTTATCGGTTGTCACGACAACAGCCCGCTCTGTGCTCGCGCTTGCCGCCTTTCTGTGGGTCTCACAAAAGAGCGCGAAGCGCGCGGCTAAACGCATCACGCAGAGGACGCGTCACTGTTTCAGAGCGATCCCAGATTAGCCCAAAACACCGAACACAGGGTTCCCTTTATTCATCTTTTTTCTCCGGGTTTCTTACATTAAGAACGCCTGTAAGGGAGAATATTCCTGCATTAACCCCCGCTGGCTGACCGTTACATACACAGACTCGGGCTAATGCAATGCTAATAATATCGCATTTCTGTCTGTATACTGCTTTTAATCATGTCACTGCCAGGTTAAAGAAGTACACTTCCATAATGTACTTAAAGAATGACTTGCACACTAATTTTGCACTTAATATACTGAAAATGACTCTTTATTACTTCTTAAGATAAACGTAAGATCATCTCTAAGTGTACTGAACTGTGCTGTTTGGAGACGCCATGAGTATGAACTGAAATGTGCTTTAACACACTTTCTCTGTGTTTAACTGTGTTTAGGGGGTACTCACAGCAGTGTTCTTTGTTTGGTGTGCTAGTCACTGGCCAGAAGTTCTCAAGCAGGCGAATCATGCAGATCTTATTCTTTCACTGCTTTGGTGTTATCAGATATAACGCAATATGAAGAAACGTTGTGCTATTGTAAAATAAAGAAAACAAATAGGACGTGCTTGCCATCTCGGGAGCGCTTCACAAAAATGAACCGGAACTCAGCAAATATTTTCCGTACACACATGATGAATATATCTACAGAAAGCTTGAAGCGCTGTGGTTTAAAACAAGTGATGTAAGCCACTGAAACGCTAATAACAGCGCTCTACGCATCTGTTTCTGAGCGTGATTTCTGCAAGTGGGTCGGATCGAGGTCGGCTCATATTCACACCTAAACCGAACCAGAGCTGGTTTGGACCGAGACCCCTCTCAGCCCGAGTGCGCTTCTGTGTTCACACCCAGACGGACAAGACCGGTGTGAACACAGCCTTAGTCACCACTTGTAGTGCACTTGAGTGTATTAGTGTCTGAAAGATGGTTCAAGTGCACTACAAGTGCTGACGACACACTGTTAAACACAGAGAAAGTGTGTTAAAGCACATTTCAGTTCATACTCATGGCGTCTCCAAACAGCACAGTTCAGTACACTTACATGATCTTACGTTTATCTTAAGAAGTAATAAAGAATCATTTTCAGTATATTAAGTGCAAAATTAGTGTGCAAGTCATTCTTTAAGCTACGAAAATCATAATTTCAAATGTTCCGCCGTTTATATCCAACGAGACCATCACGAAAGAACTGCAGAGGTTTGGAAAGATTGCAAGCCATGTAAGAATGATTCCGCTTGGATGTAAAAACAATGCGCTTAAGCACGTTCTTTCCTTTAGACGCCAAGTTTTTATGTTTTTGAACTCCCAGGAGCGTACTTTAGAAGTCTCTTTCCGTGTTAATCACGGGGAGAATTCATACATGGTTTACGCCAGCTCTGAGAGCCTGAAGTGTTATGAATGTGGAGACTTGGGCCATAAACGCTTCGCATGTCCACATAAAGATGACCAACGTGCGTCTACATCTCGTGGTGATGTAAATAATACCGATCAGCAAACGAGTGAAAGTGAAGAACAGAGAACCGAGGAGCAGGATGAAGGGTCTACAGAGAAGGGCAAGATGCAGGAGGTGAGTGAGATTAATTTACATGCTATAATGAATAGCCTCACACTGCAGGCTGTATTCAATAGCAAACAGGTCAAAGGTAAATGGCAGATAATGTGTGTGTGTGAGTGTGAAGAGCTCTTGAGCGCTGTAGGATGAGTGCTGGATGTGTTAGCGCAGTGCCGCATGAATAACATTCAATCTGACCAGCAGCTCAGTGTGTGTTTGTGAGGCCAATTAGAGCTGCTGCCTGACAAACACAGTTTAACACAAGTGCACAGCTTCACACATAATGAGACCAGCACTGCATGTGTGTGTGTGTGTACATGAGACACAAATAAACAGCCACTCAGACACACTCCTGCCTGCCTCTCTGTGACACCCATGTGTGTGTGTGTGTGTGTGTGTGTGTGTGTCTGTGTGTGTGTGTGTATGTGTGTGTGTGTGTGTGTGTGTGAGTGAGTGTGTGAGAGAGAGAGAGAGAGAGAGAGAGAGAGAGTGTGTGTGTGTGAGAGTGTGTGTGTGAGAGTGTGTGTGTGAGAGAGTGTGTGTGTGTCTGTGTGTGTGTGTGAGAGAGCGAGAGAGAGAGAGATTATCTCCTCCAAGATTCTTGCTAACTTTATTACATGCATCTAAATATGCACTCAGTTCCAGTACTTTAGAGACTCATGAAAATCCAGTTCAACAAAATCTTTGTGGCAAGAAAATGAGACCGCGAGGAGTTCATATTCCAGGTCTTTCCTAGAACTGAATAATTCAAGCCGTGCATAATTATTCCTAAAACACTTCCCGCTGAACTGCTTCTTCTGCCCGCACTGCTCTCGCCTCAAGGTGCGAGAACTGCAGTAATAACTTCTGCATTTTGTGTGGTTTACTGCCAGAATCTGCATTAAAAGAGACTCCGTCTAATGTATGCTAATGACAGATATATGCTAATGCCAGGGTTTGGATTGTTAGTCGGAATAGTCCATTCATTTTACTGGACGACAGCACGCCGGTTACGCGTTTAACTGCGGCGAGCGTCGTGATATTCAGCGGAGGAGCGACCGCAGGGACGACTGGAAGTCATTCAGCATCAGCTAACGATGGTGACATCGCTTCTATAAATGATGAAGGGAAACGTACATCACAGCCGCGCTCGATTCTTTAACGGCCACATTAAGTTTCTCTGATTCCAGTGCGAAGAAGAATCAGGACAAACAGAGTTTTCTGGCTCAGGAACCAGCTGTGATGTATCCTCGGCCTTCTGAAGTCTCGCCGTGCAGGATTCTGTGCTCAGAAGGCCTTTAGCATCAGACGGCAGCATGAGCTACAACAAAACATTTGAATGAATTTAGAAAGCGCACACACGGCGGTGCGCTGCATTACTAAACATGCTGGAGTAGAAGAATAGTCCATTCATTTTACTGGACGACAGCACGCCGGTTACGCGTTTAACTGCGGCGAGCGTCGTGATATTCAGCAGAGGAGCGACCGCAGGGACGACTGGAAGTCATTCAGCATCAGCTAACGATGGTGACATCGCTTCTATAAATGATGAAGGGAAACGTACATCACAGCCGCGCTGGATTCTTTAACGCCCACATTAAGTTT